AGCGGTTAATGCTGTTGGTGAGCTCGGTAAAGTACTGTGGCGGGTGGTTTGGGTTGGGAGGGTGGGTTTGGTGATTGGGAACATTGGGGTGGGAAGCCATGGATCTAGTTGTGACCATCCACATTCGCAAGTGGTAAAAAAGGGTTATCGGGAAAGGGCCTCCGGCGACAATGAGCACAACTGGCGCATGGAGTAAGAAATTTCCCACAGACAGAGCCAACTAATGATACAGTTTAACTGATGAAACAGTTCTTGATAGTAGAACGGGTCGAACTGATCCACGCTCCTTAAGCCTATGTCCGAATGACCAAGCCCACCTGAAGACCTGCACAAGAGTTCAACGGGGAACGGGGAGTCCCCCAACGAACCCTCCGACGAGCAAGTTAGAGAAAGAGAAGTAGAGTGTAAAGATGGAGTAGAGATAGAAAAGTTTAACCTTCTTCCTGTCTTCGACGTCTGCTTATATCCTCTGGTAATCATTTCGTTGTCCCTTCCGACCTGTCACCTTGGCCGAAAGTCTATGCTGTAACTTACCTTGTTCAGAGTGAGGGCGTGCCCTCCCAACGGAGAGGGGTTATCGCAATAAATGCTGTAAGGGGCCTCATTAATGGTGATGTGCCGTGGCAATAACTTTGCAAATCTTTGTCTGCTGATGTGGCTTGCCCTTCTCTTGCCATGTGTTTTGATGCCATTGGCTCTTATTGTTGTGTGGGACTTCAGCAATGCTGGGCTTTATTAATTGAATTATGTATTGGGTCCTAAGTGGTAGGCTTGGGTTGTTCATAGTGGGCTATAGCCTTTGTGAGCCTACCCATGTCAAACCTAATTTTTTGTATCAAAAATTTTCTCAGTTAACTCTACAACATAAACAATTTGAATTATCAAAATAAACCTATTGAACCCAAACACCACATCTCCAATATAAACAATTAGAGTTAAACTCAATTCTTTTTTTTTTTTTCTTTTTTTTTTTTTTTTTTTTTTTTTTTTTTTGAGGAGGGGGGAGGATTACTTGACAATGGGAAACAAAAAAAATTACAAAAACATAGGGGGTGCAAGTGAAAAATTATGGGGTGCAAGTCTCACTCTCCATGTTTGGTATTATTTTTATTTTTATTTTTTATTGGTCTATCCAACTGGTAAATTATTTCCCTTTTTTTTTTTCTTAAAAAACCCTCGTCTCCGAATCTCGTATGCTTGGACTGTCTTATGTCCTTGCTCTCTTCATGAGATTGTTTAGATTTATAAACTGCTCACTATTGCAGGTAGAAGATTTCATCAAAAACATATGTACAGATTCCTCTTTTGAGTAAAGAATGTAGTGAGGAGAATAGAATGTGCCAAGTTTTTAGATGTCATAGAAAACTGATTCATTTTTGGATTTATGAACTAAAAATGTTTTTTAATGACGATATCATCATGCAAAATTATGAGTTTTTAATTCTTTTGATTCAGCTAGATTGCGATACATGATGTTTTCCAAGTGTCGACAACTATCTACTTAGTCCCTAAACTATAAACCATTATTTTGAATTTTTTTTTAGTGAAAAAAATAAATTACTATTTTGAAGATTTTTATTTATTTTTTTTTTTTTTCATTTTTACCCTACTGTCGTCAAACCACCACTACCAACCGATTGTCGAGAAAGTCAATAGAGGTAGCAGCCATTGACAACTTGTAGTGGTGTTTGTATGAACAGATAGGTAGGTTAAGTAGATAAATAGGTGACAAGTAGACAAATAATAACATAGATAAATAGACAGATAAGTAAATTAAAAGTAATATGCCCTTTCAAATTTTTTTATCCTTTTATAATCTCAAAAGAATAGAACTTAGAGCATCATCAGACTCTTTAAATTTTTAGTCAAATTAAAGCTAAAAATCCTATTTTGCTATTTTAGCTAACCACCCATTGCATCAAACTCTCTATTTTAACTCAATCCTATTAAATTATTTGTTATTCTTTTTTTTTATAATTAAATTGATGAGTTATCAATCAAATAATTCTTATGTTTTACAAAAGGTAAAACTAAAGGAAATGTAAAAAAAAAAAAAAAAAATGTCGTTGACCGGTCAAACTTCTGGGCGGATGTCTGGTTACACCAAAATCTCGTGTTTTAGTGATGAATAACTGCTCGCTTCATCAGATGAGTTACTGTGGCAAATTTAACAAAATATTAATTTACAAAAGAAATTGTTAAGACTGATAGAGGAATGATTTGATGATGATACTCTATACAATAGTTTTAGGGCTGGTTTGGGATCTACTAAAGGACAAAAATTTACTCAAAAAGTTAAAAATTTATCACTATTCCTAAATTAAAAATAAATTTTCACACTTCAATTCACACAACCGTACAACTCATCATCTTCACCCATGAAGCTTGTGTTGTGTTTGAAAGGAAAAATTGCACAGTTTGGTGCAATTTTCACACACTGTTGTTCGACCCAGGAGGGTCCATCACGGGTCCCGTTTTGATAATCTGAACTGTCAATATGTAGAAATCGTCGAGTACTATATGTTTTTATGACCTTAAATTTGAGCAACACAATAAAATTCTTAATATTTTTTAAAAAAATTATTATTCAGTATAATTTTTTAAAAATAATTACGGATAAATAATAAATTTTATAAATATTATTACCAAAACTATTCATATATGTATAATTATTTTGTGGAACACCCACTGAATTCTAAATTTCCCTTCTTTTTTTTTCACAAATTTTGTGCATATATTTTGATTGGCTTGTTTTGGGATCCACTATATAAGTATATTTTTTATCGTTTTATCTTTTTTATGTCATATTACTTCTCTACTTTTCTCCATATCTTTTCATAAAAAATTAAAAAATATAATTATTTTGTGGAACACCCACTGAATTCTAAATTTCCCTTTTTTATTCTTTTTTATTTTTTTTGCACAAATTTTGTGCATATATTCTAATCGGCTTGGTTTGGAGTACACTATATAAGTGTACTTTTTATCTTTTTTATGTCACATAACCTCTTTACTTTTTTACATATATTTTCATAAAAAATTTAAAAAAATATACTTATTTAGATTATTCAAAAACAATCCCTAATTCGGTGGTAAAAGAGATTGATGATTCCAATTCGGAATCCGTGTAAACTGGTGCAAGAGGTTGATGTTGATTTGATTACAACAACCAACATTATTTACATTTGTCAAAGGAAAATGTTAAATTGACTTTACCTAGAAAAATGTTTGGGGGCCCTAATTCTGTGGCTCAAATGTGGCTCAAATGGCCAAAACGACGTCGTTTTGGCCATTTTGATGTTGTTTAATGGCCAAAACGACGTCGTTTTGAGTACAAAACTGGTGCAAGAGGTTGATGTTGATTTGATTACAACAACCAACATTATTTACATTTGTCAAAGGAAAATGTTAAATTGACTTTACCTAAATTTCCTCTTTTTCTCAATTTTTTTGAATTTTTTTTTTTTTTAAATTCTTAAAATATCCCTATCTCGTTGTTGATTTTGAACGGTACTTGTGTTAACGACTACATTGTAAGAAATTGCATACTTTGAAAATTAAAGTAGAACAATTAAAATATAAAAATTAAAGTGTAATGGAACGTATTTTTTGAGCAACATTAGTATAATTAACCTAGTTATTTGGTATGACTATCATAATAAATTATCATCACCACAATGAACCCCATAAAAATATGTGGCATGTGTTGATACATATTGTGGGGATATATTTTCTGAGTACCAACACGTGGCAAGGTGACGCCGACGTGTCAGCCGAGGTGCCACGTGTCTTGGTCGTTGTGCCGAGGTCATCTCGGCTAGGCCGAGGTTGCCTCCGAAGATATCGGAATCCGAGATAAGCGGATAAGAGACAAGACTCCTAGAATGAAGAGGAAACTCAACTTGGATATGGACAAGAGTCCTAGATTGAGAGAAGACTTCAGTTTGGGTAAAGATAAAACTCTTAGAGAGTTTATCCTGATCCAGCAGTAATCCTAAGTCCATTAGGGCCAGGCTCCTATTGGGACTAGGATTGTATTGGCTATAAAAGAGAGGCACCCCCATGGGTCTAAGGTATGCTTTTGATACTCAAGCTTGTGAGTTTAGTACTTGATTTATCTTTGAGAGATATACTGACTTGATCGTCGGAGTGCCCCCGGGTGGTCGAAACCACCGCGGGATTCTTATATTTCTGTTACAGGTCAGTCAGGTGCCATCTATTCTGCCAGTGCTCTCCAACTGGTTACTAAGCGGGCAGTGTGGTCGGAAAATCACCCACACACATATATAACAATTTGACAATTATTAATAACCACATATTAGATCATATTTCGCTTACAAAACGGCTAATAAGTATGATTTTGATAATAAACTCTTTATTTTTCAGAATAAATGTGATTCAATCAGATATCAATCTAATTTGTTGTACCAAAGATTTTCTCAAATAACCCTACGATATAAACAATTTGAATTATCAAAATAAACCTATTGAACCCTAACACCGCATCTCCAGTATAATCAATTAGAGTTAAACTCAAACTTTTTTTTTTTTTTTTTTTTTGGGGGGGAAAATGGGGGGATTACTTAACAATGGGATAGGAAAAAAAAATTACAAAAACATTGGGGGTGCAAGTGAAAAATCATGGGGTGCAAGTTTCACTCTCCATGTTTGGTATTATTTTTATTTTTATTTTTATTTTATTTTTTTGGTCTATCCAACTGGTAAATAATTTCCCTTTTTTTTCCTTAAAAAACCCTCGTCTCCGAATCTCGTACGCTAAGACTGTCTTATGTCCTTACTCTCTTCATGAGATTGTTTAGATTCATAAACTGCTCACTATTGCAGGTGGAAGATTTCATCAAAAACATATGTACAGATTCCTCTTTTGAGTAAAGAATGTATTGAGGAGAATAGAATGTGCCAAGTTTTTAGATGTCACAGAAAACTGATTCATTTTTGGATTTATGAACTAAAAATGTTTTTTAATGACGATATCATCATGAAAAATTATGAGTTTGTAATTATTTTGATTCAGCTAGATGGCAATACATGATGTTTTCCAAGTGTCGACAACTTAATAGTGGCGGTTGTACCAATCAGCATTTCAGATTTGAGCCAAACTAAATAAAGAACTGGACAAACTTCTTGTTTGAAAGAAAATGCTTTAAAATTAGAGAAACAAGTCATCTGTAATCCCGCGATACTGACACATTGCTTGTAACATCAAAATCATTTCTAACCTAGACTCTCCTCTTTAGCGTTACAATCTTGACCGGTTACTACTCATCCTTGCTCGTAGATTCTTCCCCCATAAGTTCTTCAAGGGAGAACTCGTCTTCTTCAATAATTTGTCCATCTTTACCATCCCATGGCTCAGTCTTCACAATCGAGGGCAAGCTCTCCAGGGGAAGATTACCCTTTCCACCACGTCCAGCTTCTCTCACGAACTCTCTGAGAAACCAAAAGGTGTATTGTTCTCATATTTCATTGATTGATTGTAACATAATTGCATTCAAATGGAAATGAAAATGCAAATGAAATGCATCTAACATACATTATTTGATCAAGCCTATTGTACTACTCATGTTTCCTTCTAACATACATTATTTGATCAAGCCTATTGTACTACTCATGTTTCCTTCTAACATAATTGCATTCAAACGAAAACAAAAACGAAAATGAAAACGAAATACTTACACTATCTGATCACGCTCAAATGCACTCCGTAGTGGGGCATATGCTCCTTTCTTCACATTGAGGGCTACCAAAGCTGGGTATCCATAACCGCCAACACCCACGTGCTTTTCAAGATCCAGCTGTTTATTAGCAGCAGCCCAAACATAGCTGCAATAATATTAATTCTTAATTTAGTGTCCGTGTGTCTACAAGAACTTTGGAGGTGTATTAAGCATATGATATCTAACAGACACATTTCAGTACTTGAAATCTGAATGAGAATCCTTGAATCCTCATTGCACGAAGGGGATAGAACAAAATTTTTTAAGGTAAGAGAAATTAAGCTAATTGAAGACCCTCGTATTCTTGCCTGTAAGGACTCCTTTTGAACTTCTCTGCTACGGATAACATCATCTCTAGATACTTATTCCTTCCCTCAGCCTTGGAGTCCAAAATGTCAGGGAGGAAAGCAACAAAACAAATGGCAGCCGAACCACACTTCTCTTCCATAATATCCTATATAGAAAGATCAAATCAGGTTCGTAGTTGGCATGTTTCAACAAGTGCGTGCAACCAAAAGAAAAAGAAGAAGAAGAAAGTCTTGGATGGAAAATAAGGCTTACTGGGCCAGTCAACTCAGTCACTTCAGGAGGTGAAACATTTGTTTCGAGCTGCTCTAGAGCAAATGACTCAATTGCTGAGGCAGTTCTAGCACCTTCAAAAGGGAATGGGCTGTCTTTGTCAGCGCCAAACACCAAGATCGTGGGGAATCCTTGCACATTGAACCTGCTCATTAGAGACTGGTAACGCCACCGTATTAGAGCCATGCCATTTGATAAGCACACAAACCAACCCTAATCTTGCTATATTATATTGTCTATCAGATTTTAAATTAGGGGCATTTCAATATCAGTGGAACAGTCTAAAATTTGCACTACACCAAAATCTTTTTGGTGCAAGTCTAAAACACAAGAAAGGACTTGCACCAAACACAGGACAGACTTGCATCCCATGAAAATCAAAAAAAAGATTCGTGCTGTGCCTACTGATTTGGGATTTTCAGTTTAAATTGTGAAGTGCAAAAGGGCCAGCTTGTTTTCAAAGCTTATGGGGAAAATTCCATTCCCAACAAAACTGTGCACTGCGCTCTGAAAACCTCGAGCCTTGGCACTAATTATTATAAGGAGTAAGAACAGAAACCGGGACAATTTTGTTGATATTTACAACTCATCTGTATCCATGAAACTAAAGCTATAACAACACCGGCAAAACTTCCAGACAAGTCAGAAATGAAGCAGGATGATAATATATAATATACGAGGTCAAATCAAAATTCAAAACTTACCTTCTCTGCATCACAGTCCACATGACCCAGCTTGACCTTGCCCTTCAAGTTACTTGCAGCCTTCTTCCACTCTGGAGCAAGCTTCTTACAGTGCCCACACCTATAAAAGAACAAATTTAATATATCAATCACAAAAGGAAGGGGCGAAATGCAAGTAAATCAGATTATGTTATGCATATTAAAACACCTACAAATGCAATTGATACCCCGAAAATATAGGGCTTGGCATTCAATTTATCCATGTAACTCCACTCATATTTGCAAGATTATAGTACCAGAGTCTTAAGTTTTGCTTTGACTTGCCAGTGTGTCCTTCCCACCAGCTTGAGCCAAAAACATCATGTGCTCTCCAAACTTTCATTGATTATGGTTTTTCTTCAGATTATAGATGCAATCTCCAAACTTGATTTAGTTGTACAATTCATACTGTTATTCTATATTCAAGGTGATCAATGCTTCCATGCATGACGAAACAAGCAGCATAGGAATCTTTAAAACATAACCCAAAAAAAAAATGTTGAATATTTTTTTAAGCACCACTGTTATGTAGAGATAGTTTAAGAATAACCAATCAACAATTGCTAACTCAAGATCCCCCAAGAGAACAAGATTAGCCAACTGAAGTGACTATTAATGAGCATTACTTACCAAGGTGCAAAGAACTCCACAATCCAAAGTTCTTTACTTTTAAGCACTAATTCATCAAAATTATGTGAATTCAATTCCACTGATGCACTAGGTTCAGATTTCTCACTTGATGCTCCAGTACCTTTTCCATGTAACCGGTCCTTCAGAAGTCCCTTTATCTGCACACAACTGAAATATTTTAGCATGTCACTCCTAATAACACTCAATGGAAGTAGCTAAGGATGATTTCAAAAGAGACTAGTCTGCTTAAACTGTCAACAGTGGGACAAAGAAATATCTATCAAGTTCCCACACTCTCCCTCATGTGGACCCCTCTCATACGCGAGAAGCAGAGATACAGATAGAACAGAGTCTTAATAGACTGACAGCAGGGATTAAAAAATAATGCAATTGAAGTGAACCATGTTAGACAGACATTAGTCCAGAAAGCTTAAGTTGTTAGGGAAGAGCCTTATACGGAACAATATAACCATTAATTGGCTAATCCATATATCCCTCAAATCAAATACTAAGGATTAGAGATGGCAGTATTGCGCAGCCCAATGAAGTACACATGTCCTCAAGCATATTATTATTTGATTTCACTTTGCAACTATGCATAAAGATATCTGGCCCTAATCATACCCCCATTTTACCACAAATGGTTTTTATAAATATTATTCCCAGTTGGTAAGGCTACATACATCTCGTCCTCTCCATACCCCGCTTTAGCAGGAGCCTTGTGCACTGAGTCACCTTTTTTATTCACATAGTTGGTGTATGATACTCAAACAGAACTGTGATATTCAAAAAAAAAAAATAAGAGAAAAAAAGATTGACCTTTTCTGCCTAAGCTAAATGAAATGACAATAGAACATTTTATGCAACAAAAAGAAAAATACAAAAAGAAAGAAAACAATGCTAAATGGAATTCAAGTACCAACGGGAAATCACAACAACCTGTTGCAGGGCATATTCTGCTATGGGTTTGACATCCCTAGCTCCTTGATAATCTACTGGAGGCTTTCCGGGAACAAACACCTTGATGGTAGGAAAACCCTTAATCCCATATTCCTGCAATAACAAAAGAAAACGCATTAGTACACGTAGATAAATCAGTCATCCAAATATAGATTCCTATAAAACTTCTTTTAAGAAAATGGAAACTTTAGAAAACATAAAAGCTCCAAAAAAGTGAATTTTTCTTTGCATTACTGCCAATCATGGAAGATAAAATGAAATATCATACAAGTTCACACCAGTCCCAAGGACAACTTTTATATCCGACCCATCCTTTCTGACATACATGATAAACGTTTGATTCTGTAAACTTTAACTTCAAGAATTTCTCCCATGGTATATGACACACGATCACATTATTCAGGAATGTATATGACAATTTTGGTAACAGAAAAGGACAACATGGGATGACAAAGCCTACATCTCTCAAATGTCATTACCTTTTCATAAAATCATTACATGATCAAGATGACCACACTACCACCATGAAATTATGGCAAAGCATGCGCAGGACCAAACTCATAGACCCACAGTCAACACTCAACTTGGCACATATATTCAACCAAATTGACAAGTAATATTCTTCAGCTCAACAGGTCATTGGCCAGATTAAAAAGAAGGTATAGAGTCACATTAACTGCCAGTTCACGTCACCTCATATAGTATCACCTTATTTATGTGGATATAGCTTCTTAATCTTTTTTCTTTTTGTGGAAGCTAATATCCATATTAACTACGCACAAAACAAACCATTGAAAGAATAAGTGATCCACGAAACAATCTATGGAAACAATAAAATCAAATAATGTTTAATTGAAACTCAATTGTAACTTCTTTTTTCTCAACTTTGGAGCAATTTCATACAAAAACAAAAACAAAAACAAAAACAAAAACAAAACAAACAAACTAATACTCAATAATAGAATTTTAAAAAGTAATTTCCCACAGATCATAAACAACACCCTGCGGAAGACAAGCTTTTTAGTTGGAGTGAAAACTACTATTTCACTTGCTCATCAAGAGCTATCATCACCATTACCAAATAAAAACCACTATTACAAAAGCATGCCCATGAGATGGCATCACTTTTAATCAATAGTTTTTATCAGTTTTATCTATAACATTATCAGTTGTAGATTTTCCGCCCAATAATGCCACCAAAATAGCACAACCTTGGCCAATGCTCCACAAATTGAAATATCCACAAATATCATGCAACCACCTTGCCACTTATCCCATCTCCAACATCTTTACCACCATCATTGTCTCCCCCTTGACCACCACCACAACCATAACAGCGCAAAAAAAAGGGATATAGTTTTATAAATTATAATAAGCATAAAAATTTTAAAAGCAATTGCTATAAGTAGTAATATAGGAAACCTGAGCTAGTGACTGGTGAGCATCAGCATCAAGTGCTGCCACAGTAGCAACACCTTTCAAGGTAGTAGCTGCCTTTTCCCATGTAGGTGTCAGTGCTTGGCAGTGACCACACCAAGGAGCAAAGAACTCAACTAAAACAACCCCATTCGAATTGAGAACCTGCCACCATTCAAGCAAAACACATCATCAGGCCAAAATTGTTAGAAATTTGGACTCCTTTTTATTTTATTTTTAAACATAAGTTAGAAGTACAAGTTAACTGAGGGAACAAAAACAAAAAACTTGGATAAAGCCCAGGCACCTAATTTTTTCTATTTCCTTTTCTGTTGTAGCTGGTGATCAATGTGATACACTAGCAATGGCATGAAATAAAATTAACTTTAAACCCATTAAAATTAACATAAAAAAGGTAAAGAAAAAGGAGAAACAAAGGAAAAGAGATGGAGGCACGGCGATGCACTCTGGCTAGACAAATTTGGCAGGCATTTTGGAGCTTGAATAGGTTCTACAAATCAAATTTTAGATTAAGATACCAACTTAAACACAGAAACCCTTATCTGTAATGGAATTGTTGCCCAAAAAAATAGAGAAATAATAATAACCAAACACCAAGTACTGGTGGAATTGATATTATCATTTCTCTTAATCCGCCAACTAAATTGGTATATAAATATATTAGAAAAACAAAAGTGCAACTATATATATCAGAGCAATTGTGAATGCTGAATGGAAAGATTGGCAACTAATTACAAAGGCAAACACACCAAACACTAACACTTGCCTATAGAGTTGCAACAACTACAATATTTTAAGTTCACAGCTTAATCGGGTTAATTTCACTTTCATCCCCTAAACTCAAATTTAATCTATTTAGCCCTAAAATTTCTGATTTCAGCTCCTATGATCCAATTAGAGATAATCAGTCCAAATCAGTAATAGTGGAAACTTAATCTAATGGGCAAGAAGGTATTTTATAATTTGGACAACTTAAATCGTACAAGTAAACACCCATCTTCTTAATCACACAACATTAGACAACTTATATGCTACAACCAAACATCCATCTTCTTCTCCATTCTTCATTTCAAAATAATAAATAAAGAAAATGAGTGTTTGGTTGTACGGTTTAAGTTGTTCAAAGTTTGAAATGAGTTTTTTGTTCATCAAATTAAACTTTGGATTAATTTCACTTTCTACTCCTGAACTATTGCCAAATTATTACTTAGTTTCTAAACTATTAATTGAGTTTACTAAATCCTAAATTATATAAATTAAAGTTTGCTTAGTCACTCAATTATTTAATTCAAACCTATTTAATCTTAAAAAGATTGGGAAAAAATACAAGTACACAAGAATTATAAATTAGTAAAAGATTTACCCAATCAAGATTTTATTTGAGAAAACATAAAATTTCTATTAGCTGAAAACCCCTACTTACTAAAATCTCCAATCGGATCATATTAACTGAAATTGAAAACTTTAATCACTAAATAAATCTAAATCAATAATTTAGAGATGAAAGGGAATAAAAGTGAAATTGACCATAAACAATCAGATCTAAAGTTTCCACGAACAAAGGCAAAAGACACATTGATCAACACTTCGAACATTTTCATAAATTAAGGGGATTTTGGGCCATAGGTATTGAACTATTGAACTAGAGAGAGAGAGAGAGAGAGAGAGAGAGAGAGAGCGAGAGAATCAGATTTGTACCTTGGACTTGAAGTTAGAGGGGTTTAGCTGAAGCACAGGTGATGATGGTCCGTACAATGCATCTACCCGTGAACTGAGATCGAATATTTGCAAGAAGAACACAGATAACACGATCAACAATGGTGATGGTCGATGCATTCTCTCTCTCTCTCTCTCTCTCTCTCTCTCTCTCTCTCTCGCTAAGAAAATAGTTTTCGTCTCTTCGCGAGTGAATCAAATCGAAGCAGAAACCTCTCGACGCAGACAAGAAAAACCCTTCGCCCAGTTCTCCATTGCTGCAGAGGACTGAGAGGAGCTACGTGTGTCCACCAATCGGAGCTGTACACGTCATCACCCCCATGGAATTTTGGAGGGAGTGGTAAGTTTACGGAGAATTCTATTATCGCATCTCCCACGCCACATTTTTTTTTTTCAATTTGAATAAAAATTTGGGTAAAAATTTTATTTATATTGAGCATTTCAATTGAAAATTTTTATTATTCATCAAATTATCCGTCGATTGGGAGAATGACATGACAAATGTCTGGCCAGTCAACCTGAGTCCGGATTCTCGGCCGCTCTTTCCGGCGGCCGTTCCATCAGCCCCCCAAAACGACGTCGTTTTGGGAGTTTTTTGAAATTAAAATAACATTTGGCCATGGTCAAAAAACACTCTCTATTTCTCATGATGGAGTACATAAATAATATTTTTATTTAATATTTTGCATGAAACATAAAAATAAATACTTATATACTAGATAAAATGATAAATTATATTGGTAGTCCCCATATTTTAACTATTGTGTCATTGTAGTCCTTATAATTTTAATTTGCTCAATTTTGACCATGAATTTATAATTTTGTCGCAATTTGGTCCAATTATTATAACTGCTAGCGCTTTTTTATTTATTGAAAATACGCACATGAGTAGCATCTATTATATTTTTGTAGACAAGATTATAAACTTGTTTAACTCAGTAAGTTAATCCCAATCAACTCAATAACTGTTTTTCTTTAAAAAATCTTAATCGGCATTATCAATTGGACCAAATTGATACAAAATCTAAATTAAGAGACGAAATCAAACTAATTGAAATTATAGAGATCAAATTAATATAAGAGACAAATGCAGGGACTATCCATATAATTTACTCTAAAAAATTATAAAATTATAATAGTTCAACACAATACCCTAATCATTTGGCTTGGTTATAAGTCAATTAATACAATAAAAAATTTTAGAACGAATTACATTAATAGTTTTTGTAATTTGGTACTTATGTTATTTTGATCCATGATTTTTTTAATTGTAATATATTTAGTTATGAATTTTGAATCGTGTTCAAAATAAGCACAATCAAATATTTACTTTGCAGATGGTTCATTTCAAAGGTAAAATTGTCATACAATTTATTTTGTGTTGGTTTAACTTGTATGTTGTTTGAAATGTAATGTTATTTTTTTTAATGAATAATATTCACCTTGCTTGTTTCCACTTTTCAAAAAACGCTTTTTAGAAAATTTTACTTTCTTATTTTTTGTGTTTTTTTGTTTTTACTGAATTTTTTTAATATTTTAAGCAATTTTTTTACTTTTTAGACACACCAAACATAAATACACCTAAAAAGTAAAAAAATTGTAAAAAAAAACTTTTAAAAATTCACTAAATACCAAAAATATATAAAAAAAATACGAGAATTCAGTACATTTTTTTATATTTTTATGTATTTATTAATTGATAATACAGTTTGTCCCAGCGGATGGATCGGACTAGTCCAAGCTCCTCAAACCCAAGTCCAAATGATCAAGCCCACAGATAACCTGCAAGCAAGTTCAACGGGGAACAGGGTAGTCCTCCAGTGAACCCTCCGACGAGCAAGTTAGGAAGAGAAGTAGAGTATAGAGGGAGAGATTAGAGATAGAAAGCTTAACCTCCTTCTTGTCTTCAACGTTTGCTTATATCATTTGGTAATCATTTCGCTGTCCCTTCCGACATGTCTTCCTCGCCGAAAACCTATGCTGTAGCTTACCTTGTTCAGGGTAAGGGGGTCCTGTTCCAACGGAGAAGTGTTGTCGTAATAAATGTTGTGATGGGCTGCATTAATAGTGATGTGCAGTGGCAATAACTTTGCAGATCTTTGTCTGCTGATGTGGCTCGTTCTTCTCTTACCGTGTGTCTGAATGTCATTGGCTCTTTATGCCATGTTGGACTCCAGCTGTCCTGGACCTCACCAGTTAGGTTATGCATTGGGCTCCAAGTGATGGGCTTGGGTTGTCTATAATGATTCATGGCGTTTGTGGAATTGTACACGTCAGTAGTCCCCCATTCCCAAGTGCAGCTTTAGTTCAGCGAAGGGAATAGTAATGAAGAAGGTGAGGGTGTTAGGGAGTGGTAGTATGGAGGTCGACCGGCGGGGGTGAACGAGCGGGTGAACCAGCCGAGAGGTGGTCCGACCGTGCAGGGCGACCGAGTGGAAGGGCCGACCGCGAAGGGGGTCGACTGTGAAGGTTGGCCAAGTGGGAAGGTCGACCACGAGAAGGGGCGACCATGAAGGTTGGCCGAGCGGGAGGGCCGACCGTGAAGAGGACGGTCGCGAAGAGGGCCGACCGCGAATGTTGGTCGGGCGGGAGGGCCGACTGCAAAGGGTGAGGTGGAGGGGCGTGGGGCTCAAGAGACGGTGTGTCACGTGGTGATTTGAAGTGGAAAAGACAGGGTAAGGGGAGGAGACAGTGGATCGTGGTCGTACACGTGGCAACATCCCGTAGGGGGGGAAGATTAGGCGTTGGATCAGAAATGAAACGTTAGGTCATTATGGGTGTTGAAGAGACAGTTTTGGCGAATGATTTTGAAAAGTTTTCCAACTGGCGAAAATTAATTGGGATCTTTGGAATATGGGCAAACCGTGGGCTTTTGGCATTATTCGATTCACCTACTTGTTTACGAAAAATCAAAATATTCCAAGTGTGAATTCCTTTGTTGTTCACGATACACCTCTGCAACACTTTTTCGATTTCCTTGCTCCTGCCTCCGAAGCAATTTGCAGGCATACCACAGAAATGGCCCAAGAAGGAACTGCGATTGTCAGGGTGGACCCACTTGGAGATGATGATGCGGTGGAGTTAGCGCAGCAATACAGGATGGAGAGGGTGGGGGAGTCGATTGTACAATCCCACGGTTCCACCATGATAACAGCTCCAAAGCCAATCAACCAGGCAGAACCTGATCACTGGCACACAAAGGCAGATAAATCAACGGTCACTGCAGCGGATTTGGAGGCTATTCGCGAAAAATACTAGGTGCCTGCCGAAATAGAGTTGTCGTTGCCGACGTCGACAGAGAGGTCATCCGATGCCAAGCTAGGGCAATTTGCCCTTTATGAGGAGGCATTGAAAGGAGGACTAAGGTTGCCCCTGCCGTAGGTGGTAGTAGATGTTTTAAATCGTTTGAAGGTGGCGCCGGGCCAACTAATGCCCAACACGTGGAAGATCTTGTTGTCCTGTGCAAGTGTCTGGCCGAAGGCGAATGAAGGGGTGGCCATGACAGTGGACGAATTCTTCGCTTGCTACAAGGCCTCAGGTCAGCAAGAGACTTGGGTCACTCTGCAGGCAGCAGTAGGGAAAAGGCTGGTGGTGGGCTTGCCGTCGTCGATCAAGGGGTGGAGACCACGGTGGTTCTATGTGTCTGCTAGTGGAGGAGTTGGAGTGCGTACCATTTGGAAGGTGCCCACCAAGTCGATGGAGCCAAAGTTGGGGGCATCAGCAGAGAAGAGGGTGAAGAGGGTAAAAGAGTGGAGGGAGAAAGAAGGGGCCAAATGAGACGAGCTCGTTCAGCCGTCTGCATTGTTTGAGGTAGGGTTGGGTCCACAGCCGAGCGGTGGGGACCTCGACCAAGCGGAGTTGGAAGCGAGGAGAAGGGCTCAAGAAGCGGAGGATCAGACCATCCTTACGATAGCCCAAAAATTCAAAGAGTCCCAGGCCGACCGACTAGCAAAACCGGTTGCAATTGAGCGGATTCGACCTCGCCCCAAACCCTTGGAAGAGAAAGACTTAGGCGAATTTGTGCCGCGACCGCCCCTAATAGACCCTTTGAAGGAGAGATCTTTGAAGGAGATAGAGGCGTTGGGCGTGGTGAAGAAGAAGAAGAGGGTGAGGTGGAGTGAAGAGGAGCCTGCCTAGAAAAGGAGGAGGGAGACGAGAGTAAAGGAGACCAGTGTGGCCAAGGAGGTAGAGGGGGGGAATTGGGGGGGACGCCAGGGAGAGTGATTGTCTCAGAAGTGGTAGACATCGCCTCAGAGGACATGGAGGTGGTACCAGTGGTGGCGGCGATCGCCGCAGGGGTCGCAAAGGCCGCCCCTGAAGGGCAAGTAGAAGATGGGGCAACTGGCCCTGGGCCAAGGAGGGAAGAACAGCCCCAGAGAGGGCCTGCACCTCAAGGAGGGGGAGTCAGTCTGACCACAGCAATCTATCATGCGCGTGCGGTGGCGGGGCGGCTGGAGGGAGAAGAAGGCCCAGCCAGGGCAGGGGCAGACTGCCTGGTAGGGATTATAGAAGTGGCAGCCTTGTGCTCAGCATCCAGATTCAACGAGGCTGAACTGCTAAGGGGGTTATGCTCCGCTCAAATGGAGGTAACCACCTTAGCAGGGGCTCTGCTGAGGAAGGCGGGGGCTGCTAAACTCAAGGCAGATGAGGCCAAGGCTCAGCTTGCCAAGTTGAAGAAGAAGAGTGCAAGTTGGGAGAGTGTCCACACTAATTTGCAAGCGGTTAGAGTGGAGCTGGAGAACACACGCCGCCAGGTTGTGTCGCTCGAGTTCCAACTGGCTGGCGAGCAGAAGAAGTTGGATGAGGCCCAAAAAGCTTGCGCAATCGCGGTCGAACGCCATGAAGAGGCAATGAGCAGTAATGAAGAGCTGGTCAGGCAGAAAGATGAGGCAGATGTGAGGATTGGCGATCTGCAGAAGGAGCTGGAGGGCGAGCAGGCTAAGGCAGTGGAGGAGATGAGGAGCCTTCAGAATGAGTTGGAAACAGAGAGAGACAAGGCGACGGCGAAAAGGGAGAGCCTAAAAAGGGAGTTGGAGGAGGAGAGAGCTAAGGCTGCGTCTGAAAGGGCGACCCTGCAGGAGGAGCTGGACGAAGAGAGGGCGAAGGCAGCCTCTGAGAGGGCGGCCTACCCCGACTTGTGCGTCGCAGCGGTGGAGCAATTTAAAGAGTC